GTAGTCCGGCGCGAGCCGCCGTAACGGCCGCCGGGCGACCGTTGGTGCCGGGCTGCCCGGAGCTCGCCGCAGCCGCCCCGGCGATAACCGCCCTCCTTTTCCCCGTCCAGGCGGTAGGGGACGGAGCTTTACAACGCACCAGATGCTACGAGGCTTGCAAGGCCATCGCGGAGTCGGGTCTCGTTCCAGCTTCCAGAGCTCGCTTAGCAATTTCTGCGAGCTCCCTTCCTCTAGGCAGCACGGAGCCGTCAAACGCAGCGCGGTTGGTCGTCCCACGCATAAGCGGGTTTCTTATAAGGTTTATAGGAACGTTTCACTCTACTCAAAACACAGAAGCGTGCTGTGTAGTGACAGGGAAATGAGAGTCTTTTCTACACCACACGTGTCACAACACAAACTCTCCTATGCAAGAATGAACTAAATTGGAAAAAACAATTTAAAACAATTTTGCCAGCTCTCCCCAAGATGCACGCTGTATTACTTTTTTATTATTATTATTATTTTTATTTTTTGCCGCTCAAGGCTGCTAGCAGCACACCAAAACAACAGACCCACTTGGTAACCAGGCAAAACTGCCACAGGGCTCCCACGAAGGCCTGCCCGCGCTGCGCTGGCAGAGGAGCGGCAGCAATGGGGTGCTCCGGGAAGATAAAAGCCAAAACCACCCAAGAGCTGACTCATGAGCCATCCGTCCACAAATACCCACACAGCTATTTTTCTTCCCCGGCACGGAAGTAATTGTTAATGTTTCATCATCAAGAAAAAGCACGCACAACATTTCTTGCATGGAGACGCAACGCTGTAGTGGAGTCGCTGCTCAGTAGATCATTTCCCTATGCCTAAGACCCACACTTAGTAATTAATAACCAAGGTTTGAAGGCCTTTGACAACAACGATCCTAATATACAGCTTATCCTTTCAGAAAGAAAATATTTTAGTTCTTGTTATTCATTTGTCAGATGTCTGTGGTTCAAAGGCAGGCTCTAACTCACCCCCAAATCAATAACCCTTCAGACAGATGTTGGCTAGTATTCAGCACTTGCAGCCCTCCCCTGGGGAGACACTAATAAATAATTATTGCAGAATAAAAGGTAAATCTATAACGTGACTTGAACCAAACCGACAAATTAGACTTTTGCGTATTTCCCAGCAGCATGGATCTCTGCGGCAAGCCATGCAGGTATTTGCAGGCAGAGTAACCAGGCAAATGCCAGAGCTCGCTCTCGTGCATAACGGGAGCGTTCAGGAGCTGTTTTGTCCAAAGACTAAAGGTCTCTTTTCTGCTCGACATTTCATACCTGTCTTGTGACGTGTGGAGTCAGCAAATGGACGTGACGGGCAGCCAGGGTGGGAAGCCTGTTCTGAAGCCCAGCTGTTGTTCAGGCAGCGTAGGCAAACTTCACTGCTTCAGGAGAATCCCTGTAACAACCTCGTAAACCTTCACCCTGGCAGGACCAGTACTCAGCTCGCCACCCCGGATAGCAGCCTGCAGCAAGCCGCCAGCTCCCAGATGGCCACAGCAACTCACCTTCCCCGTGCCCCGGCCCTGCAGGCTCGGCCCGGCTCCTCACACGGGGACGTCACCCCCGTACTGTGGTGACACGCCCTCGCGCCCCTGTGCTTCTCATCTTGTGCCGCTGTTGTCAGCCAGAAGAGAACTACGGAGCTGTTGCTTTGGACGAGCTACTTCAGCTCCGCTCACACCAACGTACAGAAGCGGCTTTGGGCAGCCTGTGGAAAAGGGTGTTACCTCAGGCAACAGGGAACAGGTGTCCTCCGAGGTGGATGTATGGATTTTATACAAGAAGAGTTTATAAACAATCCATAAAACAACAATCAAACCCATTTCTATCTCTATTTACCATCCAGATCCTTCTCCGAACTGTTCAGCTCTCACAGCGCGCTGTACAAGGAGCAGAGACAGCAAACAGGGATTTGACTTACAGCACGGAAGACTGGGTGCTGCGGTGTCAAACATCCAGGCTTTAAATCCGTCAAGTCCTCACTTGCCAGCACTACAGCGAGGGATGTGATGTATGTATCTAAACTGTAAAAAGTTTCTAGTTTTCTTAATTCTGTATAGAATTACAAGCACCAGACTGCTTATTCTTCTGCCAGCCCGGAATGTTTGCCTGTGCTATATTCATAGCACAGGGAAATCACGTCATTCGAAAACTTCCTATTTATTCTCTCCTTCCTTAGGCTAAAAATGTCGGTTTATTATTTTGTTTTGAAGTCATAAAGACGAAGCCTGCCCTACGTGTGCTGATTTTGTGAAGAAACATTTAAAAGAGCAAGCAGTGAAACTTCAGAGGGGACGAAGGACGGAACCGGAGGGGTCTGTCCCGGGGCCGGCTGCGCGCCCCGCCCGCAGGGGCGCTCCCCCGGCTGCAGCCCTCGGCCTCCGATGGCTCTGCCCTGGCCTAGCGCCGGGCTCTTCACCCACCAGCACTCATTTAATTCCCGTGCGTCTGCGCCCTGCCTCAGCCTCTCCCCGCGTACTTTCCTTTAGCCAAACCAGCAGGGCACCGGGGCAGGAACCC